TCAACATCTCGAGCCTTGATACCAGGCCGACGCCCGAGAGCCCTAATTACGAAATAGTATGTGCTTGTAAGGTTCTCGCCACTCAAACTCAAACAAGCAAGTTGCTTAAATTGTGGCGATCTATCAAATGATGCATGTGTCTTAGTGGTCCTTTTCATATATCCATCTTAGCACAGTGTATATGTAGTTGCACACATAAAACTCATAAGTGATCAGGTGAGGGTAATTTGTGGAAGATTGGATAATTTTTTTGTTGTTTCAAGAAAGCATATAGAAAATTAGACCTATTTCACTTGGTATGAAGAGTAGCCATGTTTAAGTCCTAAGACATTTATTTGAGTTTTGGAGCAATGGTTAATTTTCAGAAAGGTTGTTCTTTCATTTGAAACATGTGAAAATTGCCCTCTTCGGTTCTTAGTGCCAAAATTCTCATAAAATCTCCAACTCAAAAAAGAAAACTTCTCATAAAATTTGTCACGAAATTCATACAATTCAAATGGGCCATCACATCCATCTCAAAATAAATTATAATAAAATGGGCCGTCGCAATTTCCCCACGCGGGGTGGCAAAGTGGGCAGTGGCGTCAGACAAGGGGGAAGCCCTAATCGCCGACGATACAAATAGCCGTAGGCAGGGCCCGAGACAAGTGCCGGTCGACTCAAAAGTCAAAACCCCCCGATCGAGCCGCCTCCAACACACCACCACCAACGTCAGCAATGCCCCGCGCGACGCCGTCGGTTACCCGGGTGGGCACGCGGTCGGCGTGGTCGGCGAGGATGAGCATGCGCGATCTGGTGACCGGTGGCGCCGGCTGCGCGGCGCCGGGATCCTCCTCGTCCGCCAACCCCCTCAGCGCCCTCGCGGACGCCGTGCTCGGCTCCTCCAAATCCGAGGTGAGTGCGCCCGACTTAACCCCCATCTCGAGCGAAATCGGTGCGCCGCCGCCGACCTCCAGCCGGCACGGATGCTGCGCCGCTCGCGTCTCCTTGGATCGCTGGGGCGTTGTGTTGGGTAGATCGTTCCCGGCCCCGGGGGTTCGTTGTTCATTTCTCGCTGATCTAGGCTTCAGTGTGGCCAGTGAGGAATTTGTGTTTTTTCCTCTTTGTATCATCAACCATTTTGGCCTCGGGTGGGATTGTTACTGCGTGTGATTCCAACGTCCTTACGTGCTGCAAGGTTGTGAAAACTCTCTCCTCCTTGACTTGCTGGTTCGAGTTTCCTCGAAAGAAAACTTGCTGGTTCGAGTTTCCTCGAAAGAAAACTTGCTGGTTCGTGTCGTGTCTGTGTCTGACGATCTTCAGTTTGCTGTCACCAAGGTTTACGGCCCTTGCGATCATGCCATTAAACAGGGTTTTTTTGCAATCCTTATCCCATCTGCTGCCGAAAATTTCGGGTCCCTGGACAATTACCAGCGACTTCAATTTAACTCTCAGGCCGTCTGATAAATCTTACAACAACTTCAACTTCAACATGTTCTCCTGGACTATTAAGTATTAACTCTCTGCAGCTTCAGGACCTTCCGCTTCTGTACAGGCGGTTTACGTGGTAAAATCAGCAATACTTGCCGGTTTTGGTGCATCTGGACCGTGCTCTTGCTGACGTGGATTGGGCTCAAAATTCCCTGATAGTTCACTATCTTCGGTTGCTAGAACCACATCGGATCATGTCCCCATTCCTTTAACGGCTTTGACAACTATCCCAAAACCTTGATCTTCCGTCTTGATAGGTCGCTTCTAAACTTTCCTCCGTTCAAAGATAAAGTTGCTGCTAACTGGAATTGTGTGGGGAGCAATCATGCTCACCTTGGCTCGTCTGGTATCCTCTCTGAAAATCAAGCGCACTAGGAACATGGCCAAGAATTGGTCAACCAATCAGAGATCGCCGAAGACGCTAGTTCTGAACTGTCACGCTACCATCAAGTTCCTCGACAAGCTTGAAGATGCTAGGTGGTTTCCAACCTCGAAATGCAACTTCGTGTCATGGTTAAACTTTCTCTTCACCGCCTTAACGCCGCGATCACTGCCTACTAGAGGCAACGAGCAAAAAATATGGATTGCGTCCTGGGTGACAAGAACTCTGCCTATACATGCACGTTTGTGCTTCTGTTCGACATTGCTTTAATCAAATTAAAACGCTTTCTAATGACAGATTAATCTTCTATGCGCATGCCGATAAGGAGGCCATCCTGCCGAACTTTTTTAAAAACCTTATTGAGATCAGCAACGGCACTCGTTCTCATTTGACCTGTACTCCCTCATGCTTCATAATTCCCATGCTGCAGCCCAGGCTAGTGAGCTCTCAAAGCCTTTGGGCCATGAATCATAGTGCGAGCCTAGGGCTGGACGGACTTGGGCCAGGCTTTGACAAAGCTAATTGGGATTTAGTTAAATTAGACCTTCTTCTTCTTCTAACCGATTTCCATTGTGGTATAGCAGATCTTAAACGCATCAACTGAGAACTAATCGTGCTGCTTTCAAAAAAATGTGATGCTTCCAAACCGGAGAACTATCACCCTGTGTCTCTTAAAAACTGCTCCATCAAATTGCTTCGAAATGCCTTTCCTCTAGAGCCCAAGCCTTTCATCAACCACCTCATCCACCATGAACAAATCAGATTTATTAGAGGGCGTAGGATCGCAGAGAACTTTGTCCATGCCGCGGACATCGTTCAAACTTGCTACATGAGGAAATTACCCGCAATTGTTATAAAAATTTATTTCATAAAGCTTTTGACTCTGTACCTTGCGAGGCCTTATCCTTTATTATATGCGCAAAGGGTTTCCCTTTGGCTTGGTGTCTTTGGATTGAGCAGTCAAACAAGTCTTCCAGCTCTTCTGTGCTGCTTAATGGCATGCCTGGACCGAGGTTCCAGTGCTGCAGGGGTTTGAGACAAGGGGACCCCCTCTCCCCATATCTGTTATCATCGTTGCTGGCGTGCTTAAGAGGTTAATCATCTAGCCTCCAGAAATGGTTTTCTCTCCCACCCGATTGATGAACGTCTGCCATGCACTGTCTTTCAGTATGCCGACGACACTTTAATCCTCCTTCTTCCTGGCATTATTCAGCTCCAGACTCTTATGTGCATTCTTCTGCAATTCTCCAAGGCTACCGGGCTTACCATTAACTTCCACAAAAGCATGTTCACTCTGGTTCATGTCGACCTTGGGTTGTCCGCAAGGTTGGTGGTGATCCTGGGTTGCCACGTGGCTTCGTTCCCTCAATCTTATCTTATTTGGGGTTACCTCTATCCATGCACAAGCTTAATATTTCGGATTTCTTCTTCGTTATTGGCAAGATTGACCGGCGTCTGGCTGGATAGCGTGACCTACTTTTGTCTTTGGCAGGCAGGGCTATTCTTGTTTTCTCCGTCTTTCGCGCCCTGCCGGTCTATGCCATGAGCATCCTTCTACTTCCTGCGGGGACCTTACTTGAGATTGACAAGCGTTGTAGGGCCTTTTCTGGTCCGGCCAGAAATTAGTTACGGGCGGTCAATGCAAGGTACTCCCTCCGTTCCGAATTACTTGTCTTTGATTTGTCTAGATACGGATGTATCTAGACTCATTTTAGTGCTAGATACATCCGTATCTAGACAAATCCAAGACAAGTAATTCGGAACGGAGGGAGTAGCTTGGGATATCATGTGTACACCGTTTGCTAATGGGGGCTAGGGTATCTCTCTCGAGCATATGAATCTTTGCATACTTCAGCGCATCTCTAAGTTACATGACTCTCAAATCACTACGGCTAACCACTATTTGGTCTCTGAGTACGATTGGTCTCCGACTAACGACCTAGGCAACGCAGACAGTCTCCACACTCCTATTTGGCGAGGCATCATGAAAGGTCTAGATTTGTACCGCTCCATTACCAAGGTTCAGCTAGGGGATGGCTCTACCACGACTTTTTGGTCTGATTTATGGCTTCCTCTATCTCATACTGCCCTTGCTCAGCAATTCCCTGCTCTTTACACCCACTCCAACAGGAAAACTGCCTGTGGCTAGGGTTTTGGCAACGCGTAACCTTACTGTAGACCTTGCCCCTAGGCTGTCATTCACGGCTACTGGCAAGCTAACTTCTTTGCGTGCTACTTTGGCCTCGGCAAACTTGAATTTGCAGGTTGCAGACAGAAGGATTTTGAGGGAGCTAGGTAAACCGCTAACCACTAAAATTGCATACAGGCCAGTCTAGCAGTTAACACCGGGAGATCACCTGGCTCCGGCCATTTGGAGGAACCACGCGCTGAGTAAATGCAGAATATTCATATGGCTCGCCCACAAAGATTGCCTTTTTACCAATGAAAGGCGATTCCACAGGAACATCGCCACTTAGGACACTTTCCCCCTTCTGCAGCCAGACTGAATCTATTGTTCATCTGCTATTTCATTGCCCCCAGCTAAACCCTCTCTAGGAGGAGATGAGTAGTCTATGTCATGTTACACCTCAGGGGCTGCTTCAAGCCTGGGATGGGAATCTGTCAAACAAAAGCCGCTCCACGGTGCTCATGTCCCTATTATGGAACATCTGGAAATGGCGAAATGTCATGGTTTTTCGCTCCGAGCACCAGGGTCTACACTCCATCGCTAGAGCCGCAGAAAACGACCTGAATCTCTGGGCTCATCGCTGCAGAAATATTCAGAAAAAAGCTTTGCCAAATGACTGGGCCTCTATGTTGTTCCACCTTGCAGAGAGATTATAGACTTTTTTACTATGCTTTGTAATTTCTTCTTTGTTCCTCCCCACCTGTAAATCTGCTCTCTTGTAATGGCTTCTTTGGTTTGGTAATAAACGTTCAGGCAGGCGTAAGCCCGCTGTTGACGCGTCAAAGAAAAATGAACATCAACCTAAAGTTTTTTGGCGAAACTCAGGAGCGCTGAGAAATTTATGATTAATATATTCATGTTTTAGGTTGATGATTTTTTGAACCAATTTTTCTTTTTTTGCAGCAGAGAAAGGAACTTTCAGGATCAACGGTTTGCCAGAAAGCTTCTTTTGATTCACTGATGTCCGTTCCTTTATCAACACTTCCAGGCTCCGAGGATGAGATCAAGCAAAGTCAGGGACCTATTAGAAGCATGAAGGTCATTTTCCCTAGTCCCCAGTATCCTAGGTATATATGTCTATTTGTGATGTTTCCTAATTCCAGTTGAACATTGGCAGGGCACCGACTTCATTCATGGGTGTCATGGAGACACCTGTGGTGAAAATTTTCAAGCCTCAATCCCTTCTGTTCCTGAACACAGAATGATCGAGCCTCACCTTGGAGAGCTGGAGCAAATTGATAGTGCTACTGGTATGAATTCCAAGCCCAAATTTGGCGGCAAGTTTCAAACTAATGTGAATCTAGATAGTAGTAATTATGTTAATAAATGGTATAAAACTGAGACATCCAATAATTCAGTTAAACTAATAAATCTTTATCAAGTTTTGATCGGTCATGTGCCTTTTCAGTTTTCATATATCATCATCAGTAGCCTGTTTAGGTATGGTTGAATTGCATGCCTATTTCCAATGGGACTAATTAAATACACTGTGAGTTAACCCTGACGCGGCATTTGTTTCAGGTCCACCAGAGATGGCTATTCCCCCTCTGTTGCCTCAAAGTTCATTTCAGCCGTGCAATTTATCAGAAAATGGACCAGAAGAATATTCAGGAGCAAAGGTTAGCTTAGTTTCTCATCTCTGTGTTTGAAGATTATCTGGAAACATGAGGCCAGAGGGTACTGAAGAAAAGACATTTTTGTGCTAACCAAGTTCGCTTCTAAGTGATTGGCCTCCAAGCATCAATCCTCATTTCTTGTGTCTGAAACACCTAATGATTAGTTTATTTGTGCCAGGATGGATTGTTGGATCATATAGACCATCTTTATGATGATGAAATGAGATCCTCTGGAAACATAAGCACGGAAGTCAATAGTTGGTTATCTGCATTTGAACAGGTCAGTCACCTTTTCAAGTTAGACTTTTTTTACAGAAGATTAGATAAACATGACTTGGATATTGTGTTGTGCGTGTGGGCTTTTAAATTGCTCTATATGGACTATTCGGTCCTGCATAGTAGAGGACCGATTTGACCGTACTTAGTTAGTCCTGTAGTTTTGCAAACCGGTGTTTATTCGGTCTTTTCGGGTTCGGTTTTCGGTCTTCATTTTTTATACCCGGGGTGGCCCACCACAGCTGTACAAATTTTCGGGCAGTCGCTAGTGGCGCTGCAAATATGCAGCAGGAGCTAAAATTTGAGGTTGCCCCCCAAATTTTCATCACAAAATAGATGTGTCATCTGTTGTAACTGGTGTTTTGGCCCCAAATGACAATTTTTTGCACCGCCGCTGTTCGACCTCATTTGTTGGGGATGCTCTTAATTAATGTATTAAGATTTTAAGTTTGCGTTGGGGTTGCTTCATGCAGTATTTGTAGACTATATGCCCGGGTTTATAAGATTATATATACAACTACAGCTTTGAAATAATGACTTCTTTTTCTCTTCTATACTGCTGAGTGCTGAGTTGACTATTGGCGATGCTGATCCGATCATTTGCTGGCTGCAGGGAATACATCCACGAGTCATGAGTGACGACGAGCTGTCAGGTGATGGCTGGTTGTCATTCCTGCGGATTGCCATCAGCCACCTGGGTGGACTTTCCCAACCAAGGTTTCTGGAAGAGCAGATCACCTGTCAGGATCAGGTTACTGGGCATCGTGTATGGATCAAGCTACAGCAACGCTCTGGCTGGTCGGTTAAACTGGAAGCTACGCGCCACCACCTCTTCGACGCCCTGCAGGACGCGGCAATGCTGGCCGTTATTACCATGAGGCAGCATTTCCCTTGCGAGTTCAGAGGCACTCCGTTTGAAGTTCTGCCTGTGGAACCCGGGCAAAGGAGCAGGCAGCTAGACGACGGTGCCGCGGTCGTCCGCGGCGGTGCCATGGCTTCCGCTTTTACGGGGATCGATCACGATGATGTCCAACGTCTTCTCGCGGTCGGCTTCATGTCCCTTTTCCATGAGCGTTCCCAGTCTTTGCAACGTTTGAGGGAGCACGAGATGAAGCAGCAGCTGCTGATCGCGGAGATAGAGAAGATGGTGGAAGAGCTCGATGGTTCCCCAACCCGGACGCAGGAGTTGGATCGAAGAATTGCGGAGCTGAAAAGGAAGTCGGGGGAGATGCATGGACTTCATGCGCATGCTGTCAAAGGATACATCGGTTGGTCAGTTTTCGTCTCAAACGAGGCGCAGCAGGAGATGAAGCCATTGGAGGATGGGGATGAGGTACCACCTGCAATTGCAAGCTCCTCAGCAGTATCGGGCAGGGCCAGGCTGTGAGTGATAGGCATGCATGCGTTGCACCAGTTTATATTCATCAATAATGATGGTTACAATCCAACCAACCTGTGTTGTTGTAATTCATGTACTGCTTTTGGACTTGGATGGTGTGATTTAGGGACCCGGACGTGGCGCCGTGTGAACTCGTGTTGTTGTAATTAATCTCAGACCCTTGCTTGTGTTGTAAACTGATGTATGTGCAAAACCTAAATGGGCTGTCTGTGACACCCTACAATGTATGGTAGCTGTTGAGACATATATATGGAAAATGGTGATGAAATTAATTAGCTGCTTGCTTTCAAACGCATAAGATAATTTGTCTACATGTAATCATGTGCACCTCGGCATGTTTGTATTACATGATTTGCATCAAATTTGCACTCAGTTTCGTAGTTACAGAATGTTTTACTGAAGTTGTTCAATGTACAACATCACACTCGGATGGAAACCTGCATCTCGAAGTCATCTCCAGCTGCTGATGCCCGTATAGGTTTTCCTTGGGTAACTCGATCCTTAGAATTGATGCCAGTGTTGAAGTATAATGTCCGGCCCTCTCCCTGATATCAGTCTTTTGGTTACATTGACTCTGATACCATATAGAAGTGCATGCACTAGACAATGCAACCAAAAGATCATCTGATGGATGAAATGGTTAGGTGCATAAACTTACAACCAAGAGGTCCAGGGTTCAAAACCCAGTAAACACAATAAATAATTGCGGCCTGCCCCCGCTTCCGCAGCCCACGTCATATAGCTCCAAAGGAGCATAGACGTGAGGGGGAGTGTTGGAGTATAATGTCTGGCCCTCTCCCTCAGATCGGTCTTTTGGTTGCATTAAGAAAAATGGTGGCACCGCTCTCCCCCTCTCGTGAACGCCCCGCTCCTAGGGTTCCCTCGCCGCCGGCGGCGGCTCCCCCGCGCGGGGCCGCCGCCGCGGCCGGAGCCCGTCGCCACCGCTAGCCGGAGCCTGCTCCTCTCCTCCTCCCCTACCCCTTCCTTCTCTCCCACGTACCCCCGCGTCGCCTCCCCGAGCGGGGCGACCGGGGGCCCCTTCGCCGCTCCTCTCCAGCGCCCCTCCCCTGCCCCTGCCTCCTCCCGCCGCCGCCAGCGAGCGCCGCCGGGCCTCGGCCGCGTGGT